ATACTTTAACCATTACTCACTAGAAAATGGAAAACCAAAGCATCCATAGAAAATGTAGAGTTTCTAGTAAAATCATATCCTGCTTCCTTCTTTTTATCCCTCACCTACCCTAGGCAAGAATGTCTAAGTTATCTGATATGTGCCTTAACAGATCTTTCCCTTTCTTGCTTTGAATTGCTTTCATGGCCTGAAATAAAATTAAATGGGAGATACTGTATGTGAACATTTAGTGTGGTACTCAAATACCACAGGTCAGTTTGCTGGGCTGCTTGTTCCTCGACAGTTAGTCTAAAGGACATAGATTTAAAAGTCAAGAGAACAAAGTTGAAGAAAATTATGTTCACCAACACGGATTGTTAAGAAATGAGCCACTTGACCTAAGAAAAAAGGGAATGTTAATTTCTTCATCATTTCCCACCTCTGCATCCATACTGCAATAGCCTTGGTTCAGATTTCATCCCTGTTATAAAACATCCCCGTTCTTCCTTTTTTTACGTTGCCCTACTTTCTTAACCCTAGGGAGGATTTTCAGAAGTTTTGAAAGCTAAGCATCTCCAATTGCTTGAGGCTGTCTTTGGTTATAAGTCAGAATATAAAGCAATTACCCGTAGGGTAGGGTGTTTTCACAGCCAATATGAGAATACTCAGTATATCAGCAGGTGCCTTAAAACATTCTCTTCTGTGTGAACATCAGGTTCAGAACTTCAAGCCTTGCTTTTTTTTTTTTTTTTTTTTTAGAGAGAGAGAGAGAGGGAGAGAGATTTTTTGCTATAGGGCATGTGTGCTAGCCAGAGAGAAAGAAAGTAAGAAATCACTCCCCAAGGGGGATGGCCACACTGCAATTCCTTCTCTTCTATTCTCCTGTTGGGATTTTGGGCATGCATGCACACATACCCAGCGTGAGTTTAAGCTGCCAGGTCCGGGACTCAAACCATGGTCAACTATGTGGGAATACAACGACATAACCATTATGCCATCTGCTGGTCCCTAGAACCTTAAACCTTTTCTAGTGGGATTTTGTGGGGTACTCACCCTCACTTCTGTCACCGTCTCCCTTCTGCCTTTCCAAAAGGAGGTGAGTACTCATACAACTTGATAGTTGGGTTTAACTTGATCTGCATCTCTTGCTATTTATAGGTGTTTTGAGTGTTCTAACTATCTTAAGAACTGCATGCTAGAAATTCTGGAAATGACCACAATTGTTTTATGAGATCTTTACGGTACAAAAAAAAAATAGATAAACATGTTCCAACTCTTCCCCTAGTTACTCTTCAATTGAAATAGCCTGGAGAACCTCCCGGAAGGTTCAAGCCTTTTTTTTTTTTTTTTTTTTTTTTTTGAGAGAGAGAGAGAGAGGGAGAGAGATTTTTTGCTATAGGGCATGTGTGCTAGCCAGAGAGAAAGAAAGTAAGAAATCACTCCCCAAGGGGGATGGCCACACTGCAATTCCTTCTCTTCTATTCTCCTGTTGGGATTTTGGGCATGCATGCACACATACCCAGCGTGAGTTTAAGCTGCCAGGTCCGGGACTCAAACCATGGTCAACTATGTGGGAATACAACGACATAACCATTATGCCATCTGCTGGTCCCTAGAACCTTAAACCTTTTCTAGTGGGATTTTGTGGGGTACTCACCCTCACTTCTGTCACCGTCTCCCTTCTGCCTTTCCAAAAGGAGGTGAGTACTCATACAACTTGATAGTTGGGTTTAACTTGATCTGCATCTCTTGCTATTTATAGGTGTTTTGAGTGTTCTAACTATCTTAAGAACTGCATGCTAGAAATTCTGGAAATGACCACAATTGTTTTATGAGATCTTTACGGTACAAAAAAAAAATAGATAAACATGTTCCAACTCTTCCCCTAGTTACTCTTCAATTGAAATAGCCTGGAGAACCTCCCGGAAGGTTTTAGTGGAATAGGACGCCTGCAGTAATTTGGATGCCGCTCCTCTACTGGCTATGTTTCCACCTAGACCAAGGATTGAATCATTTTTCCTCAGAGTCTTTCATAGTATGAGCACTTCACTAAAGGGAAAATTCAACACCCAAAATCATGTTCCAACGTATCTCCATGCTGTGATAGCACAGATAATAGTATATTAAGGGACTGTGCATTATACCACACGGTGTGATAACAAGTGGGTGGGCTTTGGGGTGGACCTGTGGTTAAGTGCTGGTCAAGCACTAGTTAAATACTGTGCAGTGGGAGATGACTCCCACATGGCCGACTGCAGAAATAGGCCAGGCATGTGTGGTGCATACCCAAATGGAGATGGAGAAATGGGGGAAAAAGGATTTGGGCATGACCATGCTCCATTGAAGGACTTTTCATTCTCTCTCCACTGGCTTTCTCTCCCTCTTGCTCTCTGGTGAGTTCGCATGCTCTCCAGCAATCACAATAAGTAAATAAATAAATATTGCATGGGCTTGAAAGTCAGACCAACTTGGTTCAGGCATTAGAGCTTCTTGATTATTGTTGTAGTCTCAGGGAGCTAATGTTACAGCCCTCCTTTCTCCACCTGAGTTAGTTGAGAAAATTAAGAAGATTGTGGGGACCAGCAGATGGTCTAATGGTTACATAACTGGACTCCCATGCAGTTGTCTGTAGTGGGAGTACTGGACCAGCAGCTTAAAACTCATACCAGGCACATGTGCATGCATGCCCATGATCCTGAGAGAATGGAGGAGAAAGAATGCTGACATAGCCATCTCCCCCGGGATGTGATTTCTCGCTTTCTGTTTCTTTCTGGAGAGTTCACACAACCTCTAGCAAAAATCTCTCCCCCAAAAGAAAGGGGGCTAGCAGATGGTGTGATGATTGGGGTGTTGTACTCCCACATGGCCTACTGTGGTTTGAGTCCCCTGGACCTGACGGCTTGCTTTCTCACTTGGTTGCTCTCTCTCACTCTCACTCTTTTGCTCTGTTCCTCTCTGGGCTGGCCCTTGGAGGGGTATATTTATTCAGGTCCATTGTAGCTCCAGTTACTAAACCTCTGTACATTCTTACCCTAGAATAGGACGCTCTGCCAGTGGAATCTTTATGGCTTATTGGATGTAGGAAAAGACAGGTCAAATGGCCTTTTCTGAAATCAGGTGATTTCAGCTTAACATTATCCATAGACCAATTCATATGTTTTCAGATTGTTCATTCTTAACTCCTCAGTGTGAACATCATAGTGTTAAGCCTACATGATATTGTAATCCTACAACGGCATAACTTGTAACACTCCTAGGCTCTGTAGTATAGACTGCATGTTCCACCATAGTACACATGGTCTGTCATTCACTGAAATCTCCTTATATGGTGCACAACTGTATGAATGTGTGTGTGTGTGTGTGTGTGTGTGTGTGAGGTGTGTTCACTGCCACTAAATACTATTGATTCACTTTCCAGATTATCCCCCACTTTGTCCTTTTCCTCCTAGACAGAAGGTCAGTGAAACGTGCCTCTGGGTAAAAGTCAATCACCTAGGATTAGGGATAGTTTAAAAAGAGAGGAAGAGGGAAATGCATATCAAAGTGAGTAAGAATTATTTTTTTAAATCTACAGTTTAGTGTCCAAATTTTTACAATCACCCACCCTTTGAAACAAGTAAGCTTGCACTCAAAAGTTAGAGACAGATGAGTCCATCTTCATCTTTACACATGCTCATGGCATCAAGGAGTCATGTCACCAGCTAGAGTCTTGAGTGTATTTTGTCAATTATAGGCCCAAATTTAATAGTGATTGGCCAGAATATTTTCACATTATTAAATATTTTCATATTTCTGAAAATTTGAAGTATTTACATATCATCTTAGTGGGAATTAACTTTGGAGCCCTTGTTTTTTGTTTTTCTTTTAAGAATTATTTATTATTATTGTTATTTGCTATAGATTACATGAGCTCAGCAGAGAGCGAGAGAGAGAGAGAGAGTTCACAAGTGACTCAAACTGTGGTTGACCATGTGGCATCCAATCTTAACAAACACTTCACTTGTTGACCTGGAACACATGTTTGATAAGGACTTTTCATGACAACAGATGAACATTTTCAGCCTCAGAAAAAGCCAGTAAGGGAAGAAATGTGTTGAAAACTTTTCTCTCTCTCTACTACTGAAGCTGTGAGCATCTGTGAATATGAAAATTGGAAATATTATAAAGCGTCTTCAGAGCTCATAAATTGTAGAAAACAAAGAGCAAAAGAATCCGCTTGGAAAAGAGTAATGAAAAATAAGATGTATCAGTCTAGAACAGATTTTAGAGTGATATTGTCTAATCTTCATCTCCAGTATTTTAAACAAGTGACAGAACAGTATCTTTTCCACTCATTCATAATTCAATTAACATTCATGAAAGCCCCACAGGGTGCATCATATTAGACAATGAAACTGTTACCTGAGAAACCTTACCAGACAATAAAGTCCAGTAAGTACAAAAGCCAGGACTGTCATGAAGCTAACATAGTAGGTAGATTCATGAAGTATGCAAAAATCCTGTCCTGTGCACCTCAGTAAATGTACCTTTAATACACCTCGTCCACTGTTTAGTGATGCTGGAGACTTAGCACTTAGCATAATGCAAGTAACTAAAAAAGAGCAAAGATTTCTTTTGGATGAGAAAGCACAAACCATTCATAAAACCATTCGTAAGCATTTTTTTTTTTTTTAATCAACACTGTCATTGTCACAGCCCGCTTGATCTTCCTACTTTGGGTTAATATGGGAGCCAATTACTGCTTCATCTGTGTAGAATTAACTTTATGGAGCACACACCGGGGATTTGTCTATCTTCACTATTTAGATATATGCCATAAAAATATGCATGGAATGGAGTGCAAGCACTGCAGATGGCAGAGACTTGCAGATTTATTGTAAAATCATTTAAAATCGGTTATGCTCTTGCCAGAAGTTAATTAATTTTTTTTTTCCTGTTCTTTTCTGGGGCTGGGGGGGG